CTAACAAAGAAACTAGGGTCCATGCCAAAAATGAACCCACACTGATGCGAAATGAAGGTTCGGGGGTCAAAACGCGCAGCCGGGTGCCCCGAAAACAGACTATTAGGCATCGGAGGTGGCGTGCAACCATAAAGGTGGTCTCCCGGGCCATAGTGTCCCTCTAAGGAGAGGAAACAAGGTGTGTGCCAAAAATCGGAACGAACGGAGGTAATTAAGCGGTCCCGCACTGAGGCACACGACCGACGGCTCCGAAAACCGAAAACTGGTCTCCAAACGGGAAAAATGGCCTACGACCACGAAACATAGCCTACGGCCACTGAGAGATGGTCTACGAGACATCTCCCTCCCTTCAGGAAGAGAAAACAGAGAAAATAGGACCTGGTTCGCAAACCGAGGCAAGGCACGAAAGGGTTCCGAAGCCTAGAGGCAAGGCTCTCTGCCGAGACTTTGCAACCTCAGAACGAGCACAATATGCAACATCACTGAGCGCTCAGTTGGTGACGTCTGAGTCTTAAGGTCGGTCAAAAATGAGCTGTCTACAGAAATGCAAAAATATTGAGAAATAAAAGGCTTTACAAAAATATTGGAAATGCAACAAAGTCCACATCGGTGGAAAGCTTTACAAAAGGGGATCATAGCTATCGTCTATTTTACAAAATGTGTATACTTTACAAAAATATGTGTTTGACAATGTCTTCAAATTTGTTATTTCCCACAATTCTTACTAACGCCTAATCAATTTTCGAAAGGTCTTCATATCAACTTGTATGTATATCCCTAACAAGGCTGAAGCATGGCAATCTAGTAATTTACGAAAATGATAAAATCTATTAGTATAATTTACGAAAGTAATTTACAAAAATATTGGACATTAATTTCAATTCAGAAATCTATTGCCATTTAAGACACATGTCTTCTCAGGATTGAAAAAAAGAGATGTCTTATCAAGATTGAAAAAAAATGAAAATTGTAAAATAAACCCAAATAATGATAATTGTAAGGGGGAAAAAAAAAACCAGACTTATAAATTTCCTATACAACTAACCAACCAAAGCCCAGGTTTCCATACTTACCACATCTCTACCTTGTTTCAATATGAAAGGTCTTAGGGAAGTCCACAATACTTCAGACACAATGTTTCAATCACAAACTGTAAACATCAATGAAGCAATTAAATTGGACAAACCTGTTGTCAATATTATTGAAACAAAAGATTTTCGAAGATTATTAAAGATTATTGAAACATTATTGAAATTAAAGATTATTGAAACATGTCGGAAATTAAAGATTATTGAAACAAAATATATCCAAAAATTAGAATAAATATTATTGAAGCATTATTTGCCCACCTGAACAGTAAACATTATTTGATTGGTTGGTGTGTATATAATAGCATTCCAAATGAAATTATCATGCATTATTTTCAAAATACGAAAAATCGTAGAGGTTATCAAAATATTATACAAACTAATAAATCTTACCAATTTTTTATGAACTGGTGTTTTATGCAATAAATAAAACTCAAAATCTGAAATAATACCACTTTAATAACGTAATAAGGCTTTGTTTGATTAACAGGATTAATAATAAAATGAATTAGTGAAAGATTCGTTATCCAATCAAATTCGTGGCATAACCATTTTATTATGTATCCATTTATGATCCCCAACCCCTCTTAATATTCACTAATTTCGTTAGATTGAATCTGGTTAATACTAACAATCCTAATCCTATAATATAATACTACTAATCAAACGTGCACTAAGTGTGACATCAATAAGTAAAAAAAATTGTAAGGTTATTAGTTTGTATAACATTACCGTATCAGCCTATTAATTCAAGGAGAAAAGAAAAAAAATAGCTTAATTTGTTTACGAATAGGAAAATTAGCTAAAAAGCCAAAAAATCAACCCATTCTCTCTATTTATTTTATATAAGTGTTTTTGTATATAATTAAAAAGCCAAAAAAAATAATATCACCAAAATATCATCAAAATAAAATTTGATAAGTGTCAGTGTTTTTATATAATCATCAAAATAAATAATTAAAATTTTATATATTGGGATCAAAATGCATATATATATATATATATATTTGATTGGCCAAAAACACAAAATATTGGTCTAATTGGCCAACAACTATCTAACCCAAAATATTGTTTGACTTAATCCCCAAAATATTGTTTTACTTATTGATTAATTCCCAAAATATTTGATTTCTTGATTAATCCAACAGTCCAGAAACTAAGATGAGAGAAAAGAACAACAAACTAAAATGAACAAAGAAAACAAGATGAACAAAAAATATGATAAACAAACTAAGATGAATAAAAAATATGACAACAAACTGAGGGTTTAAATAGAAATAAAAAAAACTGCTTAGATCAAATCAAACACAACCCTTTATTGGCAAACACAACCCTTAGAAACAGATATAAAAAAATTGTCCAATTGGCCAAACAGGATAGAAGATTTATTGGCAAACACGGCCCTTAGAAACACAAACACAGCCCTTTAGATCAATGATCTGATTTTGACAAATATAAGTTGAGAACATCGAACAAAACAAATTTAAGTTGAGGACATCAAACAAAACAAATTTAAGTTGAGGGGAAAAAATCAATTTAACAGGATAGAAGATTAATCCCCACTCTCGGTTGTTTTAACAAATCGGACATATGTATTGGTTTTGTTAAATGTAACTACATTTTTGTTAATTAGTTTTTTTTGTTTTTGTTTTGTTTTGTTTTGTTGTTATACTGGTTTAGAAACACAAACACAGCCCTATTGGTAGTTATTATATTGGTTTTTTTGTTAAATGTAACTACATTTTTTAACTTCATTGCTTTCTAATGGCTTAATATTATTTTCATTCCTTTAAATCTGTGATCAGCATTTCAGTTCATCCAAATGCATGTTTTTTGACAACTAAAGTGAGCCGACAATGTATTGCAGGATCTACACCTAATGGTGCTAAGCCAAATAAGGGAAAAAGTGTTATAATCAAGAGTGTTATAATCTTAAGAATCGAAATGAGATGGACTTCAAGAGTGTTATAATCCAAATAAGCCAAATGAGATGGACTTCAAGAGTGTTACAGTCACTTAAGATGAGTATAACATTTCAAAACTGTCGCCAGGTCCAGTGATAATTGTTTCCAATGCAAAATCTAAAGAATCGAAAGAAAAGGGGAGTCTTCAAAATTTGGAGAATCAATTCACTATATTTGAAATAACTCTTGCTCCAATGCAAATTGATTCTAAATGCAAGTTAAAAGAAACAAAAGAAGAGGAAAGTAGCATCATTGGCATTTCAGAATCTTCTTCATATCCTCCTCAAAATTGTCCCAATATATATACATCTTGGATATATATACATCTTGGAATCATATATAATACACACAAATACATACATATTGGCTTGTGAGAGAGAGAGAGAGAGAGAGAGAGAGAGAGAAAGAAAGAGAGAGAGAGAGAGGGGGAGTAACCGTAACTGGTGCAATGGACAGTGACGATCTGACCGGGGACAGGCTTGGGTCTGGTTCTAGCAGTGAAGACTTCCTTTTCGATTCCCATCTCTGAATCTCTTATCTCTTTTATTCCGGGATTGAGGACTCCCTTTCAACCCTTGTTCTCCTTTTGCGGTGGCTCCATCCGATGGGGAGAGAGAGAGAGTTCAAAATTTGAAAACAAAAAGAGATGAGAGGAGTAAGTGAGAGAGAGAGGGTGTGTGTTAAAAGCGATGTGAGTGAGATGCTTTCAGCCCTTAGATTGAATTAATCTAATGGTTTAAATTTTGACAAATGGACAAAAGTCCCATCAGGAGTAAAAATTCGAGCTTCCTTGTTATATAGATATTTTTTATCTTTTTATTTTTTTGAGTTACATTATTTTTTTATTTTTTTACACATATTTTGGTAAAAAGTAATGCACTTATTTAAGATTCATTTGGCATTAGATAATATAGTCAACTTTTGTGTGTTGACATTTTTTTAGCTTGACTTTTTTAGTCTCATTTGATTTTTGTTTTGGGACTTTTTTAACTTTTATGAAGAAAAAAAAGTATAATGATTATGGATAAAAAGTAATATTTTGTCTTATTAGTTTATATAATTTATTTTGTTTTTTTTATACTTTTTTAGCCCCAATGAGAAAACCAAACGAGGACTTAGATCATCCCAAACAATCCTATAACAAAATTGAAGAAAATTAATACGGTAAAAATTTCGTAGATAATATGGTAGAAAATGAATATGATAAAAATTTCGTATATAATATTGTACAAAACAAATACACTCCATTTGATTAAAAGTTTTTTTTTTTTTTTTAAATAGGAATTGTATTTTGTTAAAAAGGGTAAATTATAAATACACTTTTTGAGATTTGTTTAAAATACGAATTGTCTTCTATGATTTGAAAAATTACAAATAACTCCCTGACAGAATTTTTTATTTAACAGAATTAATTGAAAAAGTAAAATTTAAAACTGTTAAACTATACAACAATAAAATTATCTCAATTATTAATTGGAATAAAATTTTAACATTATTAAAAATTGTTAATTAATTTGATAGTTTATTAATAAAATAATATATTTGTTATGAAATTAAAAACCTTAAGACATAATGTAATTTTTAAAATTACAGAGATAATTTATAATTTAAATAAATTTCAAGAAGTGTGTTTGTAACAATGTATCCTATTAATAAAAATTATTGATTGATTTGATAATTTATTAATAGAAAAATTATTTATTATAAAATTATGAATTTTATGTGGTTTTTAAAATTATAAATGACAAATCATATTGTAAATAAATTTTAGAGTTTGTGCTTATAATTTATTCATTATTTTTGTATCCTTTAAAGAAATTATTTAACGTTTTTAATGGAATGGAAGGATGAAGATGCATATCCATATCCATATCTATAATGATTTTTGTTTTGCTTATTTGTTTGTTTGTTTGTTTGTTTGATGGGTGATTTTTGCGTTTTCTTCCGTGGGAATATTGGCACTGATGTTTCCCGAATCCACCAGAAAATTGGAAAGGACAGCTATGTCCCCAGACTCTTCTTCACATTTCTAGTGATTTCTGTAACATTCACGATTCCTCTCGAGTCTCGCCATACACTTTGATTAATATGCCTGCCTGCCTGCCTGCCTGCCTATATATGAATCATCACCATCACCATCACCATCACCATCACCATCACCTTTACATTTCGAAACGAAACCATTAGATCAACCTCTTCAACAATCAATCCCAAACTCCCTCTCTGATTTCTCTATCTACAATAATAACAATTCGCCTGAGAAATAGAAATGGCTTCAACGACATTATTGGCTTGCCCTTCTTCACCTCTGGTATTGAACAAATCCTGGCCTTCGATCAAGCCAAATGAACCGTCCTCAGTCTTCTTTCCGTCTAGGTTTTCCCGAGTGAGGGCTCAGGCCACCGGAGATAACAAAGACACGGCGATCGACGTTCATTTCAACAATCAGACCAACCAGCAGGCGGTGGAGCGCCGTCCACCGCGGCGGCTGGCCGTCGATATCTCACCTTTTGGTAAAAGTCTACTTACTCCAATGGCTTGCTGTGTTCACTCATCATGTTGTGTCGTCGACTGTGTTGTTTAATTTTGGTCATTTCTTTTACAACATTGGTGTGATGTGAATATAACCTTGTTTGAAACCCATATTCATTCATGAATTATATAATTAATTTACCCTATATTTGTTTTTGTTTGATGAAAATATTTTTTTAAATAAGTTTTTTGTATTTTTTTAAATTTAGTATAATTAAAATCAAAAATCAAATATGATAGAATGAAAAATATCTTTGTTTAAAAATAAAAATAAAAAAAACATTATCAATGTCACCACTACGCTATCATCCCATCATCCTTGCATGGATATATTATGGTGTCTTTCTTTGCACTTTAGGTATATGAAGATTACATGATCTATATAGTAGTTATCAAAATATCAAATAAATACAATTAAATAATTAAAGGATAATGATATTTTAAGGGACTACTTAGACCGATTGGATTGGAGATCCCACCACTTGATTGAATTTTAAATTCAGTGCTACCATTTGGATTTGGTTCAAATTTTAGATTTGGTATTTCTACTCAAGCATCACTGCACTCATAATTAAAATATAAATTTAAAAACGTATCATTTGATTCTGTTGTCATCTCGTGATTTTCTTTTCCTAGAAGAATCAATCAACGTCGGTTCAAATTAGTTTTTAATTCTTACGCTTTCTCATCTTTTCTTTTTGTTAATCTTGAGGTGTAAGAAATAGACATTTCTTTCTTGCATAAAATCTTCAGCTGAAAGCAACCAATTGAGAAAACAATAAACTAAGGGCATTTTTGGCATGTGCTAAAATATCATATACTATTTTAGCAGATTATCTTATTTAGGTCACAATCATCATATTATTTCTCTATCATATCACTTCAAATTCAATCCATGTTTTATGATTTCTTATATAAAAAATCAAAAAATATACTAAATTAGTACTTCCCAAACAATCCCTAAATAAAAGCCACTAGGCGAAAAGGAATCAATATACAATTCAATCCAATAGTCTACCAACAGCAAACTTGTTAGGCTACTGTTTTGAATCTAAGTAAGCATTTGACCCCTTTAATGCTCTACTGTGCCCCTGTAAATATCTGATAAACATGGTGTATTGGAGAAATCAGATTGTCCAATACATATTCAGTCATCATATGAATGGTGATTGTTCTTTTTCAAGGTCGGTTACTTACAAAGAAAAGGTTTTTCGATAATAGGTTTATTAGACCCTCTGTCTCCAATGAGGGCAATGCGACAAATGTTGGATAGAATGGATCGACTGTTTGAGGATTCTGTGACATTCCCAGCAGCAGAGGTGCGTGCCCCATGGGACATCAAAGATGACGAAAATGAAATTAAAATGCGCTTTGATGTTCCCGGACTCTCCAAAGAAGATGTCAAGGTCTCTGTGGAAGATGATCTCCTTGTTATCAAAGGAGAGCACAAGAGGGAGGAAGGTGGAGATGATTCTTGGTCGGGAAGAAGTTACAGTTCCTACGACACTCGTCTTCGTCTCCCTGATAATTGTGAAAAGGATAAAATCAAAGCAGAGATGAAGAATGGAGTTTTGTTAATCTCCATTCCTAAGGTCAAAGTAGAGCGCAATGTGATTGATGTGGAAATTCAGTAAAAATTATAGATTTATTTTTGCTTGGTTTTGTGGCTAGTGTTATGATATTTTAGGCTTGTATTGGCTGCTTCCTTCATTACAATGTGTAAAATTGTGTATAAGAATGATAAATAGCAATTATATATTGCTCTACATCAAAATGTATACGAAGTTTTCTCTTATAACAATGTTACATACCATTAAAAGTGGTGCTTTAAAACACCACTAATAGGTTGGCATACACTTCAAAAAAATAAAAATAAATAAGGCACTCTAACAGTGAGTGGGATGCACTATTAATTAGTGTCTCAACCATTTTCTTTTCTCTTAAATCTTCTCTTTTCAGTTCTTTCAATTGATAAACTATTTCAAGAGCGCACAAGCATCTAGCATAAAGATAGTGCATTTGACATAAAAGATCATCTATTTGAGATTTTCTACTCTCAAAATTTCTTTTTCTTAAGAGCAGAAAAATTTGACACTGTTGAAACTTATTTTGTAACAAACATTTCTCATTAAACCAATTCATGGTTTATCAGGTGTAACTGGACATGAATGGAGCAAAATTCTGAAGAGACAGAATAGTAAAATTTGTTCTGTAATCTATTTTTGTCTTTAAAAAATTATAAATAATAATTTTTTTTAACCTTTTACAACCAAAAAATAAATTAGTTTTAGGCCAAGTTTGTAAAGACTAAATAAGTGTACTTTTTGACTTTTTTTGTATTATGCGTAAAAAAAATAAAGAGAAGATGTTGATTGATGTGACCTAAAAAAGATAAAAAGATGAAATAAGTGTACTTGTTTTTGTTAGCCAAACTTGACCTTAGTTGTTTAGAAAAAAATATTTCATTCTTTTCTCCCGCCTCCACTTCCTTTAATAACCAGCCCCCACTTCAATAACTAGTATAGGCGTTAAGTCACCCCCATTGTTGACCTTTTACAGCCACTATTGTAGGCGACCTCTATTGGCTCTAGCTACTATTTTTATTGGCGACGACTATTTCTGATCATCAACAATTACTTCTTGTCGAAACCACCTCTATCTATCACTTACGGCCATCGGCCACCATCTCCGAGCACCACTTTTACTTAATTTTAAAATAAAATTTTAAACACAAAAAAAATGTTTTTTTTTCTCCTTAAAAGATATCGAGTAATGTTAGGAATCGTGAAAAAAATATGATAAAAATGATTATAAAATATTTTTTACTTTTAGATTACACATATAATAAAATACCATACATTAATCAAATGATAAAAAAATTTCATAATACAATTCATAATTTTTTTTTTTTCATGATTCTAATATTATTCAAAAATACCATAAATATATTTAATGCAATCTGTAAACTTTACCGAGCGAACTGGTGTTTGTATTTGCTCCTTCGTGTTTGTTGCTCTGTTTCCTTTTAGATACCAAACCAACCACCAAGAAACAGAGTCGGAATTTCAATCCTGGAAATGAAGAAACTACTCTGCATGCCAAGTAGGATCAAATTCATAACTACTCATTTAACCCAAAAACTAAAAACAGCAAAAAGATTTTTAAAAAAAAAAAAAAAACACTCCAAATTAAGCAGATAAAAGTTGATTAAGCCCAAAGCTAAGCATATACAAATCAAACCCTTTTATCATATAGTAATGGTGGTACTACTAATTCCAAAGCCTACTCTAATTCTATCTATTTTTCCGTGCCATGCCCATGTAAATAGTCACTTACAATACCACAAAAGCAGCCTCTCTGCCCACAGAGATAAGACTGTGTACATCTGATCCTCTCTAGACTTAGCAATAGCGGGAGTCTCGTGCACTGTGTACACCTAATCGCTATGTCAAACATGACTCGCTTCCTTCGGGTATGGATTCAAGCTTAGGCTTCCAACATGTTGAAGCAGAATCAACAGAAGAAGAAGAACTCTTCCTTTCCAACCCTGATAGAAGAACATCTTCAATCGATCTCTGTTTCGACAACAATTCCTGAAGCTGTTGCTTTGTTATGACCACTTTAATTCTCTTTACACCATTGGATTGCGCTGTTTTTTCAGCTGTGGAAGTTGGAGGACTTGGAGGAGGAGGAAGAAGATGATATGTTTTTCCTAGCTTCAACTCATAAGAGGGAGGCAGAGGCTTGGAAAGTATTTGTGAAACAGCAATGGAAAACCCAGAAAAATTTACCAGAAAGTCCTTCACAGTGATTGGTGATTTGAACTCCAATATTTTTCCGTCTGTCTTTACAACCTGTAGAACTTTCCGGTGCTCATCCGCAGCTGATTCAGAACCAGATTTGTTGCTGTTGGGCTTGCAAATAGCAATACAATTTCCCATTTTGTGTTCAAAACTCTCAACTACAGGATTTCAGAGAGAGAGAGAGAGAGAGTTGTTGGGACCTTTTGAGAATGAAGGAAGTGAGTCGATATATATAGGGGTAGTGGAGTAGAATGGAATTCCTTAACTATAATATAGGGGTAGTGGAGTAGAATGGAATTCCTTAACTATAATATTTGTCCGCTCCGTTGTTTTAACAAGAATAATAATTTCATTTGTAATTATTTTTTTTTATGAGTGATGTAATTATGTCAAAATTGTGATACTTGTTATATTTTTTTTAACAATAATGTTAGGAATCATGAAAGAAGTATCATGAAAAAATTTTATGAAGATTCTCCACCTTTTGATTAATTTACAGTGTTTGTAGTATTTTATTGTATGTTGTACAATCATCCATGGATTAATTTTATGAAACTTTTCGTGATATTCTTTTTACGATGCGTAGCATAACTCTTTTTTCAAATCTCAAGGGAGGTCAATGTAATTTAACCTTTTTTTTTTATTGAATCAAACATAATAAAGAACATGTTAATGAAATGATCATTTTATCTCACCTTCATTCCAATAAACCAAATATTATCTTTGTGTTTAACAAAGAGCGAGGATGGATTTAGGCTTTATATATTTCATGTACCTCCTTCTATTGCTTTCAATCAACTGGCATTAGATGCCAGAAGACAATCTTGTACTAGGATAATTTAATTTATGAAGTACTATTTCAACCCAAAAAAAAAAAAACAATCATATACAAATAAAAATTTCATACACAATTGTGGTATTTTCATTTTAAATAAAAACACCCACTACTTTGAATTATAATTTAAAAACTGTCACTACTATATCATTCTCAAAAAAAAAAAAAATTATATGAAAATTCAATTTATAAACTATTTTTTAAACAAATGATGGATTTGTTTTAATAATTAAGACTTTGGTCAATTTATCATAACTTTAACATTTCACTTGGAGATTGCTCAAATTTTGTTCAATGGATCAGTAAAAAGTTGTGTTTCTATTGAGAAATAAGTTGAGGAATACAAAAATCAGTCACATAAATAAACAATTTTTTTTTTTGAAAAATGATTTAGACCTCTAAAAAGAGAGCTCTAATGGAGCATTAATTTGTCTTTTTCTTCCCTATATTTTGTCTTTTACCTCACTGTTTTTTTGTTTTTTTTTTTTATGTGGCCAGCTCCAGCTCTAATTAGAGCTGCACTGTAGCAGCTCTAATTAGAGCTTTGCAGCAGATTTGTTTTTTTTTAAATGAGCACCGCTAATAATTTTTTTAAAATCTTATCCTAATATTGTTGAGGAATACAAAAATCAATAACATAAATAAACAATTTTTTTTAAAAAGTGAGCACCGTTAATAATTTTTTTAAAATCTTATCCTAATATTGTTGTGTTTGTATCTGTGTTTAATTTATATAATCGTAAAGAAAAGGGAAGTTAAATTTAAAAATATTGTGAAAGTGAAAAAGAGAGGGAGAGAAAGAGAAGTGTATAGTCAGTCAACACGCATGCAAGGGAAGTGGGTTAGTGGAAGGTGGCGCATTAGCATCCCTTAGCCAGTTTTTTAACTGTAATATTTATAGTCAGAGAGACAGTCCACCTTCACATTCATCTTTACATTCATATGTACTAAGTCCTGTTTGTTTCGTTGGATATAAAATGGAGGATATAATATGATGTGGGATTTAGTCAGGATATATAATGAATAGGATATAAGTATTGGATAGTATATCCCCTAAGTCATGTTTGTTGACTTGATATGAGAGAGTCCACCTTCACATTCATCTTTACATTCATATGTACTAATAGTATACATATGACAATTAACAAGTCCAGAGAAACCATAGAGTGGTCCTTCAAAAGAAGAGGTTGGGGACTTATGCCCATAAAAATCTTCACTGATTGATTTGTTAAAACCTTCATGTGTACCAATAAGTTTAGGTACACGAGACTGATATATATATATAGGTCTAGGATTTTTTTGGTTATGGACCATCTACTTCCCGTATGTGTTCTTGGTGAATGATCATGTCAAACCAAGTTCTAAAAATATATTTGCTCTCCCTTGGACGGCTTCAATCACACCGCTATAAAGAAAATATTATATAAATTAATATAATTTTAAAAATATGATATGAAATAGTGAAATTTTGTATCTAAAATGAGATCTATTAGAATTAGGGCTGGTTTGGCATCACCAAAAAAATCTAAGAAGTCAAAAAGTTATTAAAAAAACAAAAAAATTCATACTATTTACCTCTTTTTTTGGCGAGAAATTTGTCAATTGAAAAAAAACAAAAAGCAAAAAAAGCAAAACAGTGCAGCACAAAATTGTGTAGCCACACATCCCAAGTCAATTAAAAACATGGCACACTTGTAGCCACATATCTCCCTAAAAATAAATAAATAAATAAAAATTGAAAAGAGACAGAAACTGTGCAGTGCAGTATTGCTGCTTGTGTCAGCGAGGGTAATTTCATAATTTTATAATTTTATACAGTATTTTAATACACATTTTTTCGTAAAAAGTCAAAAAGTTATCCTAAATTACCATCTTTTTTTCCTCTACTTTTAATAAAAAAAGTCAAAAAATACACTTATTTAAGACATCCCAAATAACCCCTTAATATGATGGGACGACTCATGTGAGGATGTAATAATAAAATTTTAATATTTAAAATAAGAATCCCTAAAACAATATCAATGTAACTGTGGTGATACATTTAAATAGCATTACTAGGCTATAAATCATAACTCTTCGGCAAACTCTACGTATAGGGAGTAGATCTATGGTTTTAAAAAGATATTGTTGTAAAATGCTATTTAATTGGATTTAGTG